CTTAAAAGTAATTTTATGAAGTATTTAAAATTGACTAAAATGTTGAAAAAAAATGATATATCAGTTGTATTTCAGATATCCTTTTACAAAATAGAACAGAATCAAGAAGATCCCATTATCAGAATACAATCTAAGTCTGAAAAAGGAAGCAGATATAGAATAGCAAAGCAAAATACCCGGCAAAATTAAAGCCCCTAAACTAATGCACTTCAGGTTCATTCCTCCAGTATCCTTGCAGATTTCAACAGAACTAGCTTCAATTCGGCCTATTAAATGCTTAATTCAATTTGTGTATAAAGGCTTTCTATCTGGAAGATGTTTATATTGGTTGTCTAATATTCAATAGTACACGCTTTTATTACTTATTTATCAAATTTATATAGCTACCCATCTTGCAAATATGATGGTTTTTTACATAGACTGATTTATCGTAGCAATGTATTTTAAATCTGATTATTCTGGAACACTAAAAGATAAATTCCTTTATCATAGACTCTGAGTATTTCGAGCCTTCTGATGGATCATCTCCCAAAGAAAAATGCAATCAAACTATATTGACAATCATGTCCACCAATTTTTTTTTTAAATACATCTCAAAAAGATGTGGGGTTTTTTTTCAATTCTTTAGGGAGGAAATTAACCGTGCATTTAAAAATTTTGGTTTTCCCAGTCTCACTACAATATATAAAACAATTTATTTTTTCTTAAAGAAAGAATTTAACTATGCAACTTTGTAAAGTTGATACTTACCTTGTAAAGACTGTAGTTTGTAATCATTTGGCCCAGAGAAAGCTCTCTCCACAATGGTAATTCTATTCTGCAGGAGCTTTTCTATTAATTCAAATCCTTCAGGTCCTAGTAATTCAAACAACTGAATATTGGGAGGGGGGGGGGGAAGAAAAAATATGATTTTATCATTTTGGTTGATACTATCTATTTACAAAAATCTGCGTATTCACAATTTGAAGGTACCATGTTCAACAATTGAAAAACATACAGAATTTCTCCTACTTGCCATTACACATGGAGTCAATGCACATGAAGGTACTATAAGATTTTGCTAGTGACATTAGGGGATGACCTACAAAGGGTCAAGAACTGATTAAGAGAGCCCATTTTCTTATTTTCTATATAGATTCATTTCAGCATCAAGCAGCATGAATGCACTGCACAGACAGACAGATACTGCTATCAACACTGTCAAAAATTACTACCTAAACCAATTCAGAACATGATTTATGTATGGAAGTCCAAATTCACACCAGTTCTTATGAACTCTGGGAGATGGAATTCAAATGAATCAAGCCATTATTTTTTTAAAAAAAACAACAAATTATCATACTATCAGTCATACTTGCTGAGCAGCAGAAAATTAATTTATAAGAAATTACAAATCTTCTCAGTATATTAGTGCATTAGTTTTGTTGGAAAACAAAGGAGGTATGATTGGCCAACTTAGAGAGTCCCATTTAGCAAATTAACTAAATTAAATTTAAATGCTTGGTTCTCAAAAAGCTAAGCCAAACTGGTACCTAGATGACTTAGCCAAGCCTAGGAAGTTGGAAAATACCCCAAAAAGCAAGGACTTCTGCCTCTGCCGTATTGTTGCCACAAAAACTTCATGAATGTATTCATAAAATCATCAGGAGACAAGCTTGACTAAAGGGATCCTTAACATCCCTCTGAAAACTCCAGAGTAAATATTATGCAGTATTCAAAATAGAACACACAGGGGTTTTTTCCCCCTGACTGAAGCTTTGCAGACATTTTCTTCACAATCCATAATTTAAATCATTATACAAAACATCATCATGCTACTTAATGAAACAAACACATCTTCCACAACACTAGATCTATGTCAAATAACATAACTTCATAATTTCAAAACAGCAGCAAAATCAGCTTCTACAATTTTTTGTAAAACTTTAAGGAAGTCTG